GAAACAAATAATTTCCAAAACGCAGTGTATGGAGATGTAAACTATGCGTTATCAGAGTGTTTTGGGGGAGAAAAAGATTTGAAAACTAGAAGCTGGAGGTCCACAGCAGACTTTTGGATTGTAACGGGGGAAAAGAATATACTACTGAAAAATATAAAGTGAATTACTTATTTAAAATTCGCAAAAAAATGAAGGACGTAATAATTCCTCATGGTTGTTAGATAGTAGACAATTGTTTGTAATTCTTAAATTGTATTGCCATTACTTTGTGCAAATTGATTCATTGACCCAATATGCAAAACTACAATTATATTAATATTTACATTTTATTCGTGGTTTTGCCAATGATACTTCTTCAGAAATACTAGTATATATCGAATTTACTCTGAAATAATATATCCTCAGCTTATTACACCTCGTTTATAGCTCCCAATTTTTTCGAATAGCATGGATTTTCCTGAAAATTTGGATACAAGCTCATCTGACCCCCACTTCAAAAGTTAGATTGTCTAGATGTATTTTAAAGATTCAGTTCATGTTCAAATATGTTGGATAAAGTTCCTTTCATGTTTTTTAATATAATTTATGAAATTTAATTACTTTTATAAACTTTTATTGGTTTTCAAATGATCTATGATATACTATTGCAACTTTGTAGCCACCCAAAAAACCCTTATGGAAGACATACCCCTCATAAAAAACCCTACTCCTTATAGAAAAATTTCCTAAAAATTATATGTGAATATGATGATATAATTAATTTTTTTAATTTTATTGAATTTATTCTTAATATTTTTTTATTAAATTTATATCAAATAAAAAAATATATATATACATTATAAATGATTACGTGTGTGTTTGTATATTATTAAAATCTTACTCAAATCAGTTCACAAGTGCTCCAAAATACACAAAGATGATGGTAATTTACCCGCACCGAAAATTTTACCGAAATTATTCGCTTAATTTTTTTACCATAACTTTTGTAATTTTAAAGTTATAAATTTACTCAAAAAACCATTTTGTAGGGAATTTAAAGCACTTTAAGTTTTGTGATTTGCAGTTTGTTTGAGCCCTTCGTTTTTTTTTTTCAACTTACTTTCATTAATTTTATCGTACCTACTGTAATAAAAGCTCTTCTAAGGAGAAAAGTCCTAAATGCACTATGGCTTAATCATATTTTATTGCTAAAAGATTATTACATTTATGAAAAAAAGGAAGATATAAAATAAATTAAGGTATCTAAAACATATATTTAAATGACCATAATATCGACCATAGAAAAAGATTTAAGCAAAAAATTATTCGCTTCATTTATTTATTGTTTCTTGAAAAATGTATCGTAACCAAAATGAAAACAATTACTTTTCCTTGTTTCAGAATCATCTGGTACCCTACAACGAAACTGGGGGAGTCCTTCCGATGGATGACGTATTGGTTTTAAAAAAAGTAACGCAAAGTACTGGTGGTCAATACGCTTGCGCGGCTATAAACAGCGAAGGTGAAACATACAGCGCCCCATTTGACCTCCAGATCCAATGTAAGTGAACAAAAACCCTTGATAGAAACACACAAGTTTGGATTTTCTTGAATGTATAATGTCCTTAGCACAGAAAATGAAATTGTGCAATGCTAGGCTAGTAAATAGAGACTGTTCCCGCTTTGTAATCAACGTTTCGCGGTTACTAGTCCTCATCAGCTTCATGACAAACTTTAAAATAACTGCTACAATTTGTAAAAATATTTCTGGCTTTATTATCCCTTACGGAAGTGTTGAAACAACAGGTTCGTTGCCGGTTAAACGTATTATTCGAATCATTTCACGATTAGATAGGCCAAATTACGCACGGTAAACTAAATTTAAATATGTTGAATGCGTAAGTGTGGGGAAAGACGTGGAAACGCAGCAATTCACGGGTAATCCATCTGAAAGGCCACAGTTCTTCCGGTTATTACTCGGCAACCCCTCTTTTTCATTGTGTAGAATTAACTTTATCTTAAATTGCCACCAGCGAACCGGAATTTACACTTTTTTCAGCGGTGACAGGTGCTAGGGTATTCGGAAGGCAAGCAGATGACTTCTGAAGCACTATTTAACCTTTGAATTATTGGATAAATATTGTCACCATCATCCTTCAGAATTAAATGGGTTGGTCCATGAATATAAAGTATTTTTCTATAGATGGTTTCAGAAAATAACGAGCGTTCAAATAAAAACGTGGTCAAGTTGGTTCTGAAAATTTGGACGTAGGGCGTAGCGTATAGCAAATGAACTTAAACGTCATATGTTAAAGCGCTATATCGCCGCTATCAATTTGAATATTTTCGTTTTAAAAAGCGTTTAAAATGGTGTTTTCTCAAGAACAAAAAGTGTTTATCATAGAGTCCTACTTTAGAAATGGACGCAAGATTGATGGAATATGGAAGTATTCTATTGAGGAATGTTTCATAGAATTTCAAAATCAATTTCCCGGCGTTGTTGAGTACAAAATTTTTCAAAGTGCAGTTCAGCGTTGTGTTAATGTTTTTCGTGAAACGGGCAGTGTAACAAGAAAAGAAGGAAGCGGCCGACCTAAAAAGCGGACTGAAGAATTAAAAGAAAATGTCCAACAAATAATGGAAAATGCGCCAAGAACTTCTGTACGTGTTTTATCACAAATGGTGGGAGTATCAGTCGGTACCTGCCACACAGTGTTAAAAAAAGATTTGCGTTTGTTCTCCTATCGTTTAACTTGTCAGCAAGAACTTCATGAAGTTGATTTTCCGCGACGGGCTGTATTTTGTGAATGGTTTTTAAACAACTACGGTGAACTTCATAATATCACCTTTTTTTCTGATGAAGCCTGGTTTCATTTAAGTGGTTACGTAAACTCACAGAATATGAGAATGTGGTCTTCTGAAAAACCAGATAACTTTTTTGTCGAGGGCCCTCTACACGCTCAAAAAATTGGAGTTTGGTGTGCTCTCAATCGAAGGAGGATTTATGGACCTATTTTTTTTAATGGTACTCTTACTGCGCAAAGGTATAGAGAAGAAATTATCGCTCCTTTTGTTAACCAGCTGGAAGAAAACGAAATTACAAACTTTTACTTTCAACAAGATGGCGCAAGGGCACATACGGCAGGCGAGACGATGAATATGTTGAGGGAAGTTTTCCAAAATCGACTAATAAGTCTCAATGCTGAACATGAATTTCCACCGAGGTCATGTGATATTACGCCGTGTGATTTCTTTTTGTGGCCTTACCTTAAAAACACTATTTTTGAACTGCCTATTCCTGATTTAAACCATCTGCAGGCTCGACTTATAGACAAGATTCGTGAAATTAACAATACCCCGAGCATCTTAGAAAATGTCTTTAATTCTTTGAGGAACAGGTGTGAAAAGTGCTTGGAACAAGGAGGGGGACACTTTCAGCAGCTGCTTTAATTTATTGTTATAACAAGGAGGGGGACACTTTCCGCAGCTCCTTTAATTGTTTGTTATTGTTATCACGATTATTCTTTAAAATAAAGTTATATAGTCATTAACGTTATTGAAACTGACAGCTGCTATACAGCTCGTTGAGAAATGAGGTTAAGTTGGTCGCTATAAGCTACTCCCTACGTCCAATGTGTCAGAGCCAACTTCGACCACGTTTTTATTTGAACGCTCGTTACAAACATATAAATAAATAATTATTGAAATGGCAAAATTTTTTAAGTTGCAGACAACTAAATATTCTGATGCAGCTCATTTTGCTTTAAAAAAGTTTCCATTAATGCACATAAACATAGGGAGTAACTTACTTTCCTTAAAGATTATTAAAATTATATTAAAGAAAGCTATGATGCTCATCTTCACATAAAAATAAATAATATTTCCACACTAAAAACGACTATCTTGAACCTCCAGTGAGTTGTAGGTTCTTGCATGTTAATAAAACAGATTAAATCATTAACATCATTTCAGAAAGGTTGAGATTATTACTTTTATACTTGAACTAATAACTAGCTTAATAGATTTCTTATATCAACTTTTACCCCTTCATAACAACCGAGTCTAGCGAACCATTTTACTAAATATTACGGCAAGGGATTTCTTGAGCTTTCGCGCTCACTGAAATTTAAAGTCTAATAAAAGTTACCCTATTTACAAACTGGAAATCTCTTGACTCTGTCAGAACACTCCTTAGATCGGATTGGATTCAATTTTAGTGGAGAAAATTCCCGCGCTAGATGTAACCGAGCTGAGTCTCAGAAACAAATTATGTGCCCCAGGTTAACACCCAGAAAAATAGCGTTTCTAGAAATAGTCGAGTAATAGTAACTGTACGGGGTACTTTTCTATGTTTTAAACTTAGTCCGCAGAGTAGTTTTGATATAATACAAGACTACTGACAAATGTCTTCTGAGTATGAGTATTGATGTCAGGAATTATAATAATGATCTCATAATCTTGTCTTCCGTTTCTTACTCCCTTCTACGTCCACAAAACGGTTTCCTTTCATCGGTAAATACACAATCAAAATAAGTGCTCTTCATCTAGGATAACATTTCCTATGTAAAAATACACACATTAGCGATATCACGAAATTCAAAACTGAGGTAAAAAGTGTACTATTTAATATGTACAGGATGGCCAAATGAAAACGAAACAGAGCCATTTTCAGGAACTGAGTCAGAATGACTGACATTTTTACAGTTACTAATTGTTTGTACATAAGTTTCAACATTAAAATCAAAATTTTTAATAAGTATTGGGCGGAATTATAAAATTTAAAGTCTGTTGTAAAGAGAATTGTAAGAGCTTTCAAAAGAAATATTACTCAACCCCAATGCCATTTAAATATTTTGAGGTGATGCTTACCCTTGCTTGGGGGGTGAAAGTGGCGGAGTCAAAAATACCAGCAAAGAATGTCCCCCTTTAATCTAAAATCGACGGGTCTGAGCGATTTTCTACAATCTTGACGCAGTTCCTGAAAATGGCACTGCTTCGTTTTCATTTGGCCACCCTGTGCTGATACACAATTTTTGCTTCACGCTACTAATACCTGCGGAAAAGTGGACGCTGTTTTTGCATTTAATGCTATCGTACTATAAATATCTCGCGAAAAACAGAATTTGCGGTTATCCACGTAAATTCAACGAATATTTAAAAATGTTTATCACATACATGCAGCAGTTGTAACTTCAATTACGTTCATTTCCATTTTAATTGTAGCTCTCTTTATTTGCAACAGCGTGTTATGAAAATATGAAACGTTTGTGTGTTTGCACAAGTAAGATATAATTGGAGAGAATTATATTTCATATGCAGTCATTAAGTCCATATTTACGGTTTGCAAATACAACAGTTCAAGATGTAATTTATAGTAAATAATGTGAATTCTAAAAAACTACAAACGGTGGCTCTTAAGAATATAATTCAATGTGTTAACGTTCAAGTAGTGTTAAATGAGGTAATTCTGCTGGTGACTGTATTAAAATCCTTTACAGTTCTCATCTAACCATATTCTTACAAATTTCGAGTAGCAGGTCTTGGAAAAGTCTGAAATTTTTTAAAAAATCGATATAATAAAGGGAGAGAAGCGATAAAAACTGAGTTGCTTTCTATCTTGCTTCTTTCACGCGTTAATTAACGAGCCATCGGGGTAGCGCAAGAGAGCAATGGAACAATTTCGAACAATTTCACGAATCGACAACTGTCAGAAACAGATACATTAACTTAGCCGTATGAGCAGCATTTGAATTGGAAAATTACGATATTCATTCAGATGATTTTCCGCCTCGGCAGATCGATTGACACATTACGCTTTATCAGAATGTATTTTCGATGCCTCTAAAGTTTTACGTCTCTCGACAATAGCTCTGGATCTAAAAAACACTTTAGCGGAGATATTTTAGAGCAGACATTGGGGAATAATTTCAATAAACAAAATAGAGTATCACTTTAATATACAATTAATACAATTTGGAAACAAATCTGATTGAAAGTTCTTTTTTGTCAACTCAATTAAATATCATTTTAAATGGAATGTATTGGATTCTTTTATGTTATTTAGTTTATATATGATTTAATTGTTTGTATTGAAACACAATTAGTCGGTTTGAAACTTTCATAAACTAAAAAGTAAACATGGTACGATGTAAAAGTGGAATACATTAATTTGGCATGTCGCTAGTAACTGTCCATACACACACATTCTTTCACTTCGATTCAAAAGTTCTCATAGTAAAACGTTTAACTGTTCCTTAAGGATAAAAAAAATAACAAAAATATTTTTCACACAGCTGAAAACTTTATTTTATAATTTATGATTGAATTTGATTTTGAAGGTCATCTCTAAGGTTATTTCAAAGTCAGTTCTTGTTTTTTGAAGGTAATACCTCTGAATAGTGACGAATATTCTGAAGTAGCAAGATATGAAATATCCTCACTATGAAACCAATTATTCAAGAGCCAAAAGCTGAGACTATTTAAGACCAAATTCCCCAAAGTCCATTGTTGCCCTTTCTATGACCTTGAACATAAAAAATAACTCAAACACGTCTCCGAACT